CAGGTCTATGGACTGGGGCTGAGGCCTGGCAGGAGGGGGACTGATATATTCTGAGGCTAGTGGGTTTTCTGTCTGACACCTCATCAGGTGGCCTTGCAGGAGGTGGGGTGATACATGGGATTCCAAGAGGCTAGGGGTGGGAGGGCCCTGTCTGCAAGCAGATGAGCTGTGCCTGATGAGTGGCACAGGGACAAGAGTGAGGGTCATGAGCCATGGGAAGATTGGGTAACTTGGAACAGGGAATTTCCTCCTTGGCACTGGGTTCTGGCCCATTGCTCTGGACCCTAGGGAACAGAGACAGAGGAGCTTGGAGGACAAAGAGGAAACAAGGCTGAGATGGAGGCTTCTTTGCTTAAAAAATGGAGACCTCCCTCTTGAACCAAAGCAGAGTTTGCCTCCTGGAGCAGAGAAGTATGGAAAGATGTGAGCTTAGTCCTAGCTTTTCCTCCTTGGTCTCCACAACCCTGGGCCCTGAAATGAGTGCTGCTGTGACTGAGTCCCCACCCTTGTCCTCCCTAGAAGACAAGCTGTGGCTAAAGCCCTATGTGGACCTCCAGGCCTATGAGGACCCTGCACAGGGAGCCCTTGACTTCACCCAAGAGCTGGACCCAGACTGGCTGATCGTGGACACGGTCATAGGAGAAGGTGAGCCCTGCCATGCACAATAGCTGCTTCCTCTGTGTGGCAGCACAGGCCTCCAGCAGACCCCTACCTGCTGGCCTCACTTGGGGAGCCCATCTGGTCTCTTCCCGGAGCTCTGGATGAGTTCGCACATGCTTTACACTATGTCTCCTTGAATCGCTGGGTTTATGATAAAAACTCCACATCAGATGCCCTAGGGTAGCCCCTGCTTCCTACACGCTTTGCTCTGTGGTTGGGGGTTTCCAATAGAGTGTTAAATGCATCCTCTTCTGAACACAAATGTGTTGCTGTCTGGCCAAGGCTGCTCTCAAGTGGTTCCCAAAAGTGGGAGGTTCAGTGCCCCCCAAGGCCATCATTCCATGCCATCAATGGCCCAGTATCCGTGCACTGCCCTGATCCCTCAAGCCACCAGAGGAAATGGATCTAAACAGAGAACAAAGCGTGGCAGTGTACATGCCGATTGTGTAGCCAACCCAGTTAAGCCACGGTCAAGGAGTGCACAAAACAGAGGGAGCAAGGGTCAGCCTCCTTGTCACTTGGACACCAACCTGCTCTTCACGAAGCCCTGGACTGCAAAGGGATGTGTTTAGTGAACACCTACTTAAGCCAGGTGCTGTGCTACTCATGAAGAACAGTGGAGGTCAGGTTGCAAAGCTTATGCTGGTTCCATAGTAACCCTTCCCCAGGACAGACAGCTCCAGTCCTCCCTCTTGAGCCAAGAGGCAAGGCACAGGCACCCTGGTCCTCTGATCCTCAGAGGACAGTTCTAGAGTCATCACTGGGAGTCACTGTCTGATCCTAGGTTGCCTCATGGTGCATTGGGTCACAATCCTGTTTTCCTTCTGCCCAGGGGAGTTTGGGGAAGTTTATCGAGGGATTCTGAGCCTCCCCCGCCAAGATTGCAAAACTGTGGCTATTAAGACCTTGAAAGACACGTCCCCAGATGGCCAGTGGTGGAACTTCCTCCGTGAGGCCACTATCATGGGCCAATTCAACCATCCACACATTCTGCATCTGGAAGGCGTCATCACAAAGAGTATGAGCAGCGGTCTCTAAAAGCTAGAGGGGAGTCCAAGGGAAGGAGGGATTGCATCCACCCACTGGAAGCGGGGGTGTGTTGCCAAGGATAGGAAGAGTCATGGCATGCACTCTTGTGTCCCAGGAAAGCCCATCATGATCATCACAGAATTTATGGAAAATGGAGCCCTAGATGCTTTCCTGAAGGTAAGAAACAGAGGACCATCCAGGGAGAGGGATGTGCCATGGAGCCCTGAATCTTGGCAAGAGAAGACCTGTTAATCTCCTGACCCACTCATTCATGATGGTGCAGGATCGGGAAGACCAGCTGGCCCCTGCGCAGCTGGTGGCCATGCTACATGGCATAGCATCCGGCATGAACTACCTCAGTGACCACAATTATGTCCACCGGGACCTGGCTGCCAGGAACATCTTGGTGAATCAGAACTTGTGCTGCAAGGTGTCTGACTTTGGCCTGACTCGCCTTTTAGATGACTTTGGTGGCACCTATGAAACCCAGGTTAGAGTTCCATACATGCGACATACATGTTCATATGCATCACTGCATGCATTCCTATCTACAGAGGTTGTATGGGCACAGTAACCTGTCTCCTGCCCACAATAACTTCACCTGCCTATGCCCCATGCATGTCACTTGTCTCCCCTGTGCCTTCCTAGGGGGGCAAGATTCCCATCCGTTGGACAGCCCCTGAGGCCATTGCCCAGCGGACCTTCACCACAGCCAGTGATGTGTGGAGCTTCGGCATTGTGATGTGGGAGGTGCTGAGCTTCGGGGACAAGCCCTATGGGGATATGAGCAATCAGGAGGTAAGTCTGGAACATTCCTCCCCATAGCATCTCTGACTCAAACTTCATCTCCCAAATCCAACCCACGGTACATTTTCACAGGTAACTCTATTTCACACTGACCCTTTTTGTTTTGTTTTGTTTGGGGTCTGTTTCTTTGTTTTTTGTTTTTTGCACTCCTACATCCTCACACTTTGTCCTCTTTACTTCTCCTACCCTGGTCAGGACTGTTTCATGGCAATGACCTTATTTGAATGCTGTTTACTCCTGAGCCTCCAAGTGGGCTTCTGACCCTAGGGGCATCCATGTTCCCCTTGCAGGTAATGAAAAGTATTGAGGATGGCTACCGGCTGCCCCCTCCCGTGGACTGCCCTGCCCCTTTGTATGACCTCATGAAGGACTGCTGGGCATATGAACGCACTCGTCGGCCCACCTTCGCCCAGCTGCAGGGACAGCTGGAGAAACTGCTTGCCGATCCCTACTCCCTGAGGACCATTGCCAACTTCGATCCCAGGTATTCCGGGGGGGGGGGGGGAGCAGGGAAATTCAGAGGCCAGATCTGGAAACACACTGAGATGGAGTGTGTGTGGAGAATTTTATAAAGTAGAACTCAAAGCAGCCATTGTAGATTACCATACTACAGAAAATTACAGCCAGACCCCAATGCACTAACTGACCTAGGACTTGATGTTTTTCCTGGGGAGATTTTTGGCTGTCTGGGACTTGGGATGTGTCACCTTCCCCGTGGAACAGGTTTATATATTTAACAAATCTAGAGTGCACCCTGGTGTGGTCTCTGTGATGGCCACTGCATTTATGGCAACGTTATGGTCTGGTACCTGCTCCAGGAAGCTTGGGCAGTGAGGCTGGGGTGGGGACGGTAGGCACCTGTCCCAGCCTTGGAATGCACTCCCATCACATAGCCAGTCAAGAAGCTGAGCTGGCAGACTGCAAATGCTACAAGATGAAGGCAACATGCAGTCTGGGCTAAAGCTGGGGAAGCAGCCAGGGTCATCAAAGAGAAGCACCCCTCAGGCTGGACTTCTTGCATGCAGGGAACTCTCAACTAGTTTTTCAGAACTGCCCATGGAAGGGAGGGATTATAGTCACAATTGCATTTTACCAAAAACATGGCCAAATGTAGAGCATGAGTGGCAAGAACAAGAAAGGGAAGCCAGGCAAGGCTCTGCTTCAAATGCTTTATCGGGTAAACCAGCCAAGCTTCCTGGCCTCAGTATCAAACCACCATATATAACCTTGTCTGGGAGAAAACATGTTCCAAGTTCTAACTTTTGAAACTATCTTTTGGAGCACAACTCCTCATACGCTGGAGACTACATGTGCTAATCTTTCTGGAATGTTGGGTATTTTTCTTCCAGTAGATTTACTTTGCTAATGGTTTTTGGCTCTGGCTGACTTTAGTACAGGAACACGCATTGTGTTGTGGGTGTCCCAGTGCAAGCATAACACCAGAGGTTGAAGGAGGCAAGTGGAGGTGGCTCCCAGGACTCAGGGGCCACCCTGGAGAGGGCAGGACCACACCCAGCTGCAGGGCCTTGCCTCCTGCCTTCGGCTTTCTCTCAGCCAGTTACACACTCATCTCTGATGGGCTGGGATCCATTTCTTTTGGACAGTCTCAGAGCAGCCACCTTTACTAGATCTGTCAACATAGTGGGACTGTCAGCAGTTGTTAAGCACACCAGGAAACCAGCCAGGAAGTGGGTCCAGACAATGGCTGGCTCATTCCACAAGCTCTCCGCCGGGTGTCCAGCTTCAGGACCCACTGCTGATGTCAAGGCCAAAGCCAACCAGCCCTGCACCTGCAGATAACCAACACAGCCTGGTATCCCACAGGGTGACTCTCCGGCTGCCCAGCCTGAGTGGCTCAGATGGAATCCCTTATCGAAGCGTGTCTGAGTGGCTTGAGTCCATCCGCATGAAGCGGTACATTCTGCACTTCCGCTCGGCCGGGCTGGACACCATGGAGTGTGTGCTGGAACTGACAGCTGAGTACGGACCTGGAGCTGGGGTTTCTGAGATGATAGGGGGGCTGGGGTCTGAGCCTCCAGACTCAAAGCCTCCCTTCCTTTCTACAGGGACCTGACACAGATGGGAATCACTCTGCCTGGGCACCAGAAGCGCATTCTTTGCAGTATTCAAGGGTTTAAGGACTGAGTGGTCATGTCAGGGAGGAGACTTCTCAGTGCCCCTCCTCCTCAAGGCTCAAGAGCAGGGCCATGGTCAGTCACTCGGCCCTTCTTCAACCTACACGATGTAGGCTACTGGTGCTGCCCCTGTCCACTATTACAGGACTATGTCTCTGTGCCCAGGACACGCCTCTGTTTAAAAAAGGGAGGTGGGTGTAAGTCAAGCAGATAATGGGCAGGTGGGCACTGGGGGATGATTTAATATATATATATATATATACACATATATATTTTTGTAAATAAACAGGAACTGAGTTTTCATCCCTACCCCTGATCATTTTATCCCTCTCTCCTCCAAGGACCACAGACAGAGCAGACCATGGAACATTCTGGAAAACAAGGTTTTTTTAATCTGTAGCTGTAGCCACAACCCGGCAATGTGGGCAGGGTGGGTGTCCAGGCTCCTGGAAGGTCAGCGCATCTCCCAACCCTCAGCAAGCAGAGTAGGAGGCTGCTTGGCGGCCAGCCAAGGGCATTGTTGCACAGTGAAAAAGCAGCAGCACTAAACTGGTGCCCCCTCGGGCGGGGACCTGGAGGACGGGCAGGCCATCCCTGCAGGCCTAGTGGGCCATGCTGGGCGCAGGGTCAGGGCACTTGAGATAATGAGGAGGGGTTTGGAATGGAGGAAGGCAGGGCGGGTGGAGGTGAGGCTGGTCTCAGTATGGGTGGTCTGTGGTGTGGGAGAGGACCTGTGACACAGAAGGAGCCCTCACTCAGGTCTGGGCTCGGGCTCTGTGGCAATTCCGACACAGCACATGGCCGTCCAGGGGGAAGCAGCCATTGTCATCCGCCTCAATAGACAAGGGCTTCCCACAGTCCTGGGAGAAAGAAAAGCAAGAGGGTCACTGGCCCAGAAGGTCCTGTTTTTACCTTTCTATCCTGGGGCTTCATCTTTGAGTTAAAAGGCCATTCCACGCCCCAGGGCTCAGAGCTGGCACCCTGGTCATGCATGTCTTCCCAGCCTCCGGGCCTCTCCTGCAGTGGCTAGGGGGTTGCTACCTGCCTTTGGTTACCTACTGCCTCCCACCCCAGTGAACCCTTGGGGCTCTCCTATCCTATCTCAACCCCCAACTGACCTCTCTTTATAATTTCACCAACTCCCCCCTCATCCAATGCCACTCTTCCCTCCCACTTGCCAGTCCCTTAGTTTATCCAAGGCTCAAAGAGACTGCCCCAGGAGACAGAGGGACTGCTGACCTCACACTTGTAACACTTCATGTGGAAGTTCTTGTCCAGAGCGACCACTCGAACAGTCTCATCACGGCCAGGCTCCGGCATGATGGGCTCTGTGCAGACAGAGCACCGTGGGGCATACTGCCTGGGGTTACAGAGAAGAGGATGTGGGGTCAGTGGGCACTCAAGCCTCACCTTGCTGGTGAGCTCAGGGTAATGAGGCTAAGGGTGTTCAGCCACACTTCCACACCGCACACATCTATGCAGAAGAAGCTCGGGAGAAGGCACTAGAGCCAGCCTTACAGGGAACTTCCTGCCTCCACTCACCTTCCAAATGTTCCATCTTTCACACCCAAGAGGTGTCCCTCCTGCTCCCACCTGCCCTATCTGCCCCCATAAAAGTGGCCTTCAGACAGTGCATAGGAAAGGAGACCCCATGGCATCCCATGTGCAAGCCCAAAAATGCACCCCCAAGATGCACCATCCAAAGTAGGGGGCAGATTCTGCACCTTTCCTGGCCCACCCGTTAGCTCCAAGTTCTCACTTGGCTTGAGAACTTGGCCACCATGTAAGCTTTACTGCACTTGAGACTGTAGAACTAGTCTAAGACCCACCTAGGACTGTTGAACCACTGCTGAAACAAAGTGACTCTAGCTCATGCCACAGGGCCTCAGCCAGGACCCAAAGGAGACTCAGCAAGGAGCCAAGGGCTACAGGGGAGCAGCAGGACCACCCAGGCTGGCGGCCATCAGACAGAGAAGTCCTTCCCCACAGTCACAGGCAGGATGTAGGACCAGAAAGCAAGGCCAGGGGTCTGGGACTGTCTCAGGCATAGTACTGATGCTATGTACTACACATAATGCTACTAGACAAAGTACTGATGGAAGGTAGGGAAGAGCTCCAAAGTCCTCACTTGTGGTAGTCGGGGACACAATGGGGCTTGTTAGCTTGGTCCACGATGAAGGAGGTGCCCTCCAGGGGACAGGCACAGACCACGCAGGTGAAGCAGTGCGGGTGGTAGGCTTTGCCCGTGGCTCTCAGCATGCGGTCTGTGATGGGCTGCCCACAGGTGTGGCACTTTTCCAGGGTATCCTAGGGAGGCAGCAGCAAGACGGACAGGGTGGGAATCTGGACCCCCAAGGGCCGGTTTGTGAGGCTCACTACCCACCCCCACTTGGTGCCTTGCCCCAACTACTCACAGTGTAGCAGCCCTCACAATATGGCGCCCCCTCCAGGCTGTAGAACTGCTGTCCCTGCAGCTGCTGCTGGCACTGATGGCAGGTAAAGCAGGTGATATGGAAGAGCTGCCCTAGGGCTCGGACAGCAGGCTGTGCACGTGCCAGCGGCTGATGGCACCGGCCACAGGACTCTGGAAAAGTCACAAAAGATCACCATCAACAGGAGGAAGAGATGTGTGGCTCAAGCCCCAGAAAACCATTAACAAAGAGGACAGCGTCTCAGGAGCACGTAGGAGACTCACCATTCACGGCCATGTTCTCAGCCATGTTCTGCCTCTGAGGATGTTCCATGTCCTGCATCAGCTTCTGAGTCAGCTCCTCCAGCTGCTCTACTTCCCTCAGGGTCAGGGGACCGGGAGCCCCAGGAGAGCGCCCCTGAAATCCCAATATTTTCATACTCTCCAAGATCACACCCACCCAAGGCCAGCCAACCAGACCCCCTTCTTCCACGACTCAGCTCCTGCCTGTTTCCTAGGTGCTCAGCTTCCAGCTCCTCTTCCTCCCGCCCCACCCTGCCCATCCCTCAACATGTAAGGATTGGGGTGACCTTAGCCTGTATCCCCTACAGAGCAAAAGAGACAGTGAGGTCGGAGATCTTGCCTGCTTCACCCAAACCCCAACCACCTTCTCCCCACTCCCACACCAGCAGTCACAGACAGGCCAGAACGACTGAGCAATGGAGGCCACGCACGTAGCAGCTCAGGTCACCGAAGCCACCAAACACAGCAGGGCCACAAACCAACGTCACAGAGCATGCTGGGACACAGCCTCCCACAGAAGTGAAGTCGCAATGCGTGTACACACGTGCACACACCTACCCGGCCTGCCTGCTGCCGAGCAGCCCCTGGCAGCATGAGGATACAACACAGGCAGAAGCACAAGTTAAACCCAGAACTATCTGCCGGAATCCAACCCAGCCCCCAGGAGCTTCCTGAATGGGGGCTTCTGGTGTACCCAGGCCCAGTTCCTAAGCCAGCTCAGCCCTATTTCGGGGACGCTCAGTGCTGGAGACTGGGACTGGGGGTGAGGGCGGAGGTTAGGGACAAGGCATGGTGTAAGCTGAGAACTCCAGCAGGGGTTGCCTCACCTGCAGCTGCACGGAACAGTGGGTGGGTCTTCTCCATTAAGGGATAAGGCCACCAGGGATTGATGACTCTAACACTGAGTGTTTGTCAAGCTGTCATTCCTCTAACAGCTCGGACCTCCAAAGCCTCCCTGCTACCTCTTGCTACGCCACCAGCCCCTCACACACACCCCACCCCAACCCCACACCCAGAATGCTCTGCTCTGCTGAAAAGCTCAGGTCCCTGGGGCCAACCTCCTCTAGATCTCCACACTGTCCCCTAAGACTCCTGTCATCTGTGACCTTTAACTGACAGGCGCTCCTGAATGCAAGCTTCACCTTTTTTCCCTGCCAGGCTTCCCTGATGGGATTTGGGGTTAAGAAAAAGGACTCACCTAGCCCTTGCTCTCCAGAGCCACTGAAAATGCCTGTTCATTCTCTGAAAGGACAAACTATCCATGTGAACCCCAAGAGCACCCACAGTCTTCAGAATATTGTCAGCCACTGGGTACTCCCGGCCTGCGACAGCTGTGTCATTGCTGCCACAGCCACAAGACTCAGACTTCTAGTTCCTTAACTCCCACAGCTCCAAACTCTTCTCCTTCAGTCACTTTTGCTCTCAGGACAGCTTGGACCTGAGGTTCACTCTTTGCCCCAACCACTCCCCCAAGTCTTTTGCAGTACTCATGTTTGCTAAGCACCCTAGCAAAAGAGCTTCAGGGTCCCTGCCTCGGGTGCCTCAAGCTCCCAGGCTGGCCTCTGGCCAGTTACCTCTACAAGGCTCCCACTTCATTCTGGCCACCTCGGCTATCTGGCCTGCAACCCTGGGTCACACCCCTGTCTGCTTCCTGTTTCTGCCTCAAAGCTGCAGAAAGTAGGTGGAGAAATCACCAAACACTGCAGAGTACATACACAAACCACTGCAGTGCCCTCTGCACCTCCGCGCCCAGCCTAGCTGTCTGGTATTTGGCTGCAGTGGCAGATTCCCAGTTGCCTTCCCACAGCAGCTGTTCCCAACCTTCCCCATCCCTCTTAGGCCCCAGTAGCTTCACCCCTTCTTGCTCACCGATGACTTCAGCCCTCTGTGACTGAGAGGATGGCAGGCAGCCAGTGTAAGCTCCTTCCTCATCATTCCCATGCACACCTCCAGTGTGACCCTGTCCTCACTCTCGGGGACACTCCTAGGGTCAGTCAGCCCCTGCTCTCAGTCCCCCAAAACCTACCCCACAAACTTGTCTCCTGCTTACTGTACACCTGGGCACCTAAACTGAACATTACATGCACATGCGCGCGCGCGCACACACACACATACAGACAATCACAGTCCATCCTTTATTGCTGCCAATCTTTGAAAAAAGGCTACACAACCAACCCTGTTCTCAACACCCACTCACTTCTTACACTCTGCTCCCACAAAGTGCATAAATTGCCCCCCCCACCATCTGTGATGTCCCATTATCTCTGTCCCTTATCTGTGGCCTCATTCGAATCTTCCCATTCCTCTATCCTCAAGCCCACAGCTGAAGGGCTCCTCAGGGCTGCTCCCCATTGCTCCCCCGCTCCCTCAGGCCCTTCTACCACTCCTCTGTGTTGAACCTCCTTAACCTCCCACCTAACCAATGTGGCTGGACCCCAGTTCCATCTCGGCTCCCCTCTTCACAACCTTGGGAAGCCTGCCAGGTCCTACTTTCTCGGTGTCCTTTCACAAGCCACCGAGTGCACATCTCTCCTTGGGGGCCACTCCCGACTTCAGTCCCACATCTCTAGCGCAATGATAAATCTAGTTGAAAGTAAGAGCCCTTGGAACCTCTTGCTCAACATGTGACAGCTGGACCCCTCCTCTTTCCGTTCAAACCAGTTCCCCTCCCGGACTTCTCCATTTTGTTGGCAGCACCATTACTCCCCCAACACGCGCAGGCTCTGAACATTCAGGGCTTTTCTTCTTCTCTCCCCCTCCAACTGCTTGTCAGTTGCCTCTTTCTGTAGACTCTTCCTTTGTTAAGTGCTCTCATCCCCCAACCTTATTTTTTATTGCAACTAATGTTACTATGGTCTGAAAGTAAACTCGAACACATCATCAACTGCCCAACCTCTTAACACACATCTCTGCTGGAAAAAAGGCCCATAAGTTCCAAAAGCCCTCCTGACCCAGTACACACCACTCAAAACTCATTCATGATCATCCACTATGCACAAGCTCCTTGTGGATTTCATTTCCTGCTCCCTCAAGCTCTGGCCTCCTGGAGAATAGTTCTATAATTTTCCCACAACACCCTCAGCTTTCTGTTCTCCAAACATCCCTGGTACATATGCACCCTTGAATTTTACAAACCCTAACCCTAACTCACATGCTGTAACCCCAGCTCTCACCCACATGCTATTCCCATCAAAATGCTGCTCTTTCTCTCTGGGTTCTTAGTCATGCCCATCATTCAAAACACACCAGCTCCTCAAAGCCTTTACTCACTTGCCAGTCCCCAAGCTGGCTCCCTGTTCTGAGTTCCTATAATTCACAACATGCCGAGTTACAAGAAGTGGCACTCGGACTCTTCTTCCTATACACAAACACTCTATGCGGAGACAATCACAGTGTCAATCGGGCTGTAGAGACAGTCAGACAAAACCATTTGGGCCTCTTCCACTCAAAGATCTTGTCTCCTTAACAAGACACCAAAAGCCATTTCTGTTTGCTTCTTTCTTTTCTGAGCATTTATGTGCTAGTAGAAAACCTAGCCCTTTCTAAGCATTAGCTTACTCGTTCTTCATAATCACTTATGGGACACATTGTGCTGCTTTAAGAGAAAAGAAATTGAGGCTCAAAGTTTACCTCATCTGTCTGGGCTTTAACAGCCTATGCAAAGCTAAGCTGGGAATTCTATCCCAGGTCCACAGACTCATGAAGCCTGAGCCTCTTTGACAGATTCTCTTCCCTCCGTTGTTCCAGCCTAAGGAGCACAGAGCACAGAGCTGGCACTCAGCTGAGGCTGGCGCAGCAAGTGTTTACTGGGGCTGCAGCTATTATCTCCAGTTGGGCCTCAGGTGCTGAAAGTGCTCAGAGAAACTGAGAGATTAACCTAAGGCCCAAGAACGGGAAAAACCAAGGTTGGCCTGATGATCGGTTCCTTCCCAGCAACACTCCAGGACAAAGGACAAAGGGAAGTTTGACTGAATCCCCCTAATGCAGGGCTGGGGCTGCTCAGTCCACTGACTGGGCTGCACCAAGCACCAGGCCTCATCTCTGGGAAGTATTTCTGGACTTGCTCTCACCAATCTAAACCCACAGGGTCTCTAATGTGCCATACCTATCAGCCCCTAGGTCAACTTCCCCTTTTTCTCCACTCCTGGCTGAGACCGACCCCAGGCCCTGCTCCCAGCCTTATGCTCATTCCTCACCTGGCTTTGGTTTTGGGTTGGATGGGGCGTTGGCTGCTGCTTCTCCTGAACTCGGGGCTTCTCCCTCTGCTGCACATAGGTGGAGCCAGGGGGCTTAGGGGAGCCAGTGGCAGTGGTGGAGGGAGCCTCGGGTGACCCCAGTTTTTGACTTGGCTGTGACCCAGGTCCACCTGGGGCTCCAGGGCTGAACTTAGACGCCACGGGAGTAAACTTGGACGCCACTGGAGAAAACTTAGGAGCCGGAGTGGAAGCCGGAGTCGGAACTGGGGGAGCAGGAGCTGGTGGCCCCCGGGGCTGGGTGTTAGCAGAAGACACAGGCTGAACCTGGGGCTTGCCCTGGGGCTGTACATGGAGCTGAACCTGGGGCTTAGGCTGGGACTGGACGTGGAACAGTGTCTGGCTCTGAGGCTGAGGCTGGGGTGCAGGCTGGGCACTAGAAGATGCTTTCCAAGGAGGCAGGGGTGCTGCACCTCCAGCTGCAGGCTTAGGACTGGGCTTTGGAACCACAACGGGTGGGGGTACATATCCGGAGGACACCTGGAGGAGATGGTGAGGAGACAGGTGCAGTTAGCAGAGGCAGTCTGCAAAGAGCTGCCCTCTGGGCCCAGCATTTTCTGCCAACCTGTCCCTTACCCGAGCTTTGAAGGGGTCATTCTTGGTCATGTCATCCAGCAGCGAGGACAGAGAGTCGATCTCCAGGTCAATACTGCTCACCTTCTCCCTGGACTAGAGGATCAGGAGTCATAGCACCCATTCCTTCCCACCGGACTCAACTCAGGACAGAGATAAGAGCAAAGATTCCCCTCCATTGGGGGGAAGGGGTTTCTAAATCAGTTGCCTTCTCTGGGCTCCATACCTGTGATGGGAGCTGGGTGGGGGCCTCAAGCCCCCCCTCCTCCTCCAGCGGGGGTGGCGGGGAGGGGAAGATGTCCTCCTCCAGAGGCGCAGGAGGAAACGGCTCCTCGATGGGGGGTGGCGGGGGTGGGAAGGCACCTCCCAGGGCACCCTCCGTGTCGTCGCCATCCCCAAGTACCGGAGGCGGGGGCAAGGGAAAGTCTCGGGAGAAAGGAGAAAGGGATCATCTTCACTTTCCTCTAGTTCTCCTCCCTGTGCACCTCTAACCCTTAACCCCAAAAGTCTCTCGGGGTCATGGAGAGAGCGAGATGGGAATGCGGGGGCATGTCAGAAAAGGCTGTGGCTCCGCCGAGGAGGTGCAGCTCCTGTTACACTTTCGAGAGCGGGCTCCGAGGGGACGATCCGTGGCCCACATTCCCGCCTCCCACCCCCAGGCGGGAGACTTGGAACGATCCCAAGAGCCCTGGCTCCCAGCCACGAGCTCAACGATGAGGTAAGAACATCTGCTCGGGACAGGGTGGCTGCGCCCAGCCCCCTCCGCCACAACCTTCCCAGACACCCCGAATCCCCGAAGCCAGGGTCCAGCCTGCAAACCTGGCCACGTACCTTCCGGGGGCGGCGGGGGGATCTCACCGACCCGGCCCATCTGTGCGCGCTGGGCCCCTGCTGCCGCGGGAGACTCGCTGTCTCCAAGCCGGAAAGGATTCACTTTGGGTTTAGGGGCCACCACTGGGCCGAACTTCTTCTGCGGGGCGTAGAAAGCCGGAGCCGAGACCGAGACGGAGATCGCGGGGGGCGGGCGAGGGGCCGCCATGGCCGGGACGCGCTGCGGGTGGCGGGGGGCGGTTACTGCGCGCTGCGCCGGCCCAGGACACCCAGGCGCCCCCTCGGCTCTCCCAGGGCCGGGCACCTCACTGCCGGCCGGAGCGTGCGCGCCGCGTCTGCGAGGGGGCCGCGTCCGCGGACTGTACGTCCCGGTCCCAAGCTGCCTCCAGCCGGGTGGGGAGGGACGTAGGGAAAAGGGAGGGAGAGAGGGGGCGGGGAGAGCGCGGCGCCCGGACCATACAAGGAGCGGCCCGGAGAGGGGGCGGGGAGAGCAGGGGAGGGCGGACGAGGCAGGAAACTCCCCCAGGAAGGGGCCCCGATCCGGCTCCGGGGCCCGAGGCTCGGCCGAGGTCCGCCCGCCGCCGCCCCAGTCCCCACCGCCCCCGCCGGGCACGGACCACCCTTCCCCGAGCTCAGGCCTCTGATGTCATTTCCTGACCTGCCCCCCTCCCGGCCGAGTGCCGGAGATCTGACTCACCCTCCCCACTCAGGGCTGCGTCGGAGGGTGGGCGTCCCAGAGGTGCGGAGGCAGCCTCGCCCCGCTGCTCCCGGCAGGATCTTACCTGCCCCGGGGCTGCTCCTCCTGCTCGGAGCCGCGCGCCTCAGATGCCCTGGGGTTAGCTCGGGCTTCAGACTGAGCTCCGGGGTGGGCGCGGATGGCCGAGGGGCGTCCTCTCTCCCCATGCCCGCCTCCGGTCTGTGTGTGAGCACGGACCTTGGGCGTTCTTGGGGGATGCTAACTTCCAGCGCCGGGCAGCCTCCGACCGCTTCTAGGAATTTGCGTTGCCTGCGCCCCAGCGCGCCTGGATGGAAGTGTGAGGACCCGGCTGGAGGCGAGGGCCCCCAGCTGACTTTGGGCCGGGTCGCCAGGACCTAGACCCAGGCGCCCCATGGGGCCTGCCTCGGAGAGGGGCTTCCAAGCCGCGGTGAGATCTTGGGGATTTGGAGTCTGCGCCCGCTCGGTGGAGCCCCCAACTGGTCCGACCGGATTCCTCAGCCTGCAGCTCTGTGCCCGAGGCTACGCGAAAGAGACCAAACTTGGATTCTTTTATTTACTTAGTATTTCTTTATTTTAATTACAAATGGAAACTTACCCTATCGCTGCCTCAGTTCTTCCACATTCACTACGTGCAAATTACCGAGTCAGGCATTTCGCCCTCTGTCCCCCCCCACCCCCGGCGTTTCCTGCTTTCTCATCTGGCATCCGTCATCCCTGATAGCTGACTAGCATTACACAGTCCTCTTTTTCACGTCTGCATGCTTTCCAGTCCGTGGCCTTCCACGACTGCTACACCCTGCTATCCGAGCTCGTCGGGGTGCGCGTTAGGGTCCTGAAACCCAACTCTATAAACTGATGCTGTGGGCCCAAACCAGAGTCCATTTGGCTGCGTCCTGCTCTGGATGAAGCAGCTGACTGGGTGCAAAGCAGAAAGAGACCAAAGAGCCACACCCCACCTCGACACCCACCCCACAAGTCTCTTTCCCTCTCTTGGCTTCAGTTCCTCTATCCTTAAGAGCTATAGTGCCGGGCATGGTGGCACAGGCCTGTAATCCCAGCATTCCGGAGGCTGAGGCAGGCTTATGCCACGAGTTGCGGGCCAGCATGGACTACATAAACAGACTCTGTCTCAAGGAAAAAAAAGAAGGGGGTGTATTCAGCAAACTGCCCCCTTGCATTACATGGAAAAATAAATGAAGTGCCCAACCTGAAAGAGCCCTATGATGCTCAGTATTAGTATTATTCTCAGTTCCCAGTTCTGCCCAGAACCAAAAGTCCAACCCCAAGATCCTCCTCTTGCCAGGCAGATCTCTTTTCCCGATTGGCGATTGGCTTCGGCAGTGCCCCACTTCCTCTCAAAGGAAGTCTTCAAGTATACCAAGACTGCGATCCTCTTCTCAGCCTCTGCTCTTCTTTCTCTTTTCTAGCATTTTCCCATCTTTATAACAAGTTTTCTCACAGCCACAGCACATGTAGTCACATATGATACAAAGCTTGCTGTGCACAGCTCTCTGACAGGCATGAGCTAGTCCTGGGCTTGTCTCTATGATGATCTAGGAGAGATTTGATACTGGCTTTTCCTGAACATGTTGGAGATTGTTTCTTGAGCTTTATAAACCAAAAGCCCATCACCATCCTTCCAAATTTGCACACTTAAAACCAGGTTTGGTGGCCCAGGTTTGTAATCCCAGCACTCAGAAGACTGAGGCAGGTGGATTGCTGTGAGCTGGAGGCCAGTCTGGGCTACAGTTAAAGGCCAGCCTGAACTACACAGTGAAATCCTGTCCAAAAAAACAAACAACAACAACAACAAAATACTTGGTAAGATAGATAGTTTCCAGGTAAAAGTCAAGCAGGATGTGCTGGTATGTCTTTAATTCCAGCATTCAAGAGGCTGAAGCAGGAGGGTTGAAAGTTCAAAGTCAACCTGGGATACATAGAGAGGTCAAGGCCAACCTAAGCTGTAATATAGCAGACTTTGTCTTTAAAAGAAAAAGAAGAATAAAAACCACCTACCCTTTAAGAGTCTCTTTAACAAGTATGCATGTGCAAAATAGAGCAGACTTTGTCTTTAAAAGAAAAAATAAGAAAAGAAAAAGACAAATAAAAACCATCTACCCTTTAAGAGTCTCCTTAACAAGTATGCATGTGCAAAATAGAGTATGTGTAATTGTTAGGGAGCTAAACCTATTTATAAATCAAGAATAGAAGAGTGCGTGGGTAGGCTCAGTGTAACTGACAACTAAGAGCATTTGAGATGCAGAACATAAAAATGAAGAGTTTTTAAGCCAGCCATTCTACATACAAGTAGAAACAGAATTTCCCAGGACAGAATCACAGCCTAGGATATCTTAGGAGGTGCCTCAGAGTCAGTCAGAGCTACTAAAATGCAGACAATGAACAGAACTGCCTGGACAATTCTCAGGTATTTTTCTTAAGCAAACAATTCTGACTGGTATCCTGGGTAGTCAAGTGTAGGGGATCACACCAAGCAGCTTGGAAGCAGGCCAGGGAAAAATAACAAAAGGAACCATGACCCTTGCTCCAGGAAACATCTCTAGACACCTCCAAAGATTTATAGCCCCTGGGTATCAGAAAGTCTCCTTGTGGTACATAGCATAAAGTGATAAGTTGAGAGCATTCATGGGAGAAAGTGAATTCAGAAAGTAAATAAGTCCAGGGATATAACTCAGCAGCAGAGTGCCTGCCTGGCAAGCCTGAGGTCCTGAATTTGATTACTAGTACCAGAAAAAAATAGGGATGCTATCTGCTCACTGGCTGCCAGTGGACAAGGGAGGGATTGTGTGCCCACACCAGGCTGAGCGTGCCAACAAGAACAGCAACAGCCACCACCACTGCAACTGCATACCTTTAGGCTGGGCTGTGGCTTGGTGCTACCTACCCCCATCGGCAGGAGGGTAGGCTCTGAGTTCCACGCTCAGCCCTGAACCGAACCAGCACACATTGAGGTACTGGGTAGCAGGCCTTCTTACCACGCAATGCTAAGCTCTGACTATGTGCTCCCAAGTCATCCTCAGGATCAAGCTGTGAGAACATGCATTATTACCCTGTTTCTCACTGAAGGAAGCTGAGGCTTACTAGGTATTGGATTTCACCACCTAAATGATTTGGGGCAACAGAAAAATTCTATTATTTTAAACTTGTCTAAAATAAAGAAATAAAAAAAAAAAAAACCTTTTCTACTCACTTGCTTTTCCTGCTACTCTTGCCTGCATGCCTTTATGCCATAGCGCCTCCTGTTCAGATACTCCAGCTCTTCAGCTTGACCTGGCCCCCTCCCACCTCACCCTCATCCTTTCCTTTTTATTTTTGTTTTGTTTTGGTTAGTTTTTCAATTTATTTTTAGACAAAGTCTCATCATGTAGCCCAGCAGTCTGATCTTGAACTTTCTGTGTTGCCTAGGCTGACCTGAACTTGTGGTAATCCTCCTGCCTCAGCCTCCGGAGTGTTGGGGTTACAGATATGCACCAGCATACCTGGCTTCCTCAGCCTTTTGATTCTGTCTCCAACTGAACCCTCTTATTTATATCCCTGGAACACCATTTTCTCCTTCTATCCCAAGCCACCATTACATTCCATCTGTCTAAGTTTGTATGAATGTACCTACACATGTACACATATACACATTCTGTATCTGTGAGTTGTGTGTATACATGCTTTTGCATAAAATTACATTTACATTTCCAGATTTCTCAAGGAATTGTTTACAATGGTGGCAAATACCTTTAATCTGAGCACTTGGGGAGGCTGAAAGAGGAGGATCATGATTTTGACACCAGCTTGGGCTACATAGGGAGATCTGGTCTCAAACTATCATCAATCCCCTACCCCTACAAAACAAACTTATTCCTCTATTTATTTTTGGTACTGAGGATTGAACTCAAGGTCCTCCCATGGAGCCACATCTCTATGCCTTTATCTTTTTAAATTTGCAGACAAATTCTCACTAAATTGCCCAGGCTAGATTTAAACTTGGAGTCTTCCTGCCTCAACCACCCAGATACCTGGGGATATGAGGTATGAGCCAGCACATTTGTTATCTTTAGGGAATAAAATTATGGATGATGAAAGGCTTTTATGCTGTTGTATTTTCCCCTGTGAACATGTGTTACTTTTTTTTTTTTATTTAAGAGGAAAAAGAGAAAAACACAAAACAAAACAAAGCGGTGTAAGGGTACACGTAATACAGAACTACAAAAAAAAAAAAAAAAATAACAGTAAGAAATCACCTGTTGGTAGATTACATATTATCATCTTGAAAATAGTTGCTCAAATCACAGTATCAAAGAATACAAGGTGGACATTCAACAGGGAGACTGCAAACAGCTGTGTTCAATGATCCAAAAACATTGATATAGTCAGCTATTCAACACCCCTAAACACACTTGCTGTTATATCCGTTAGAGCTCTTTTTCTTTTTTTTTTCCCTCTCTTTTTTACAACAAAATTTGCACATTTTGGATTTTATTACTCCTTAGTGCTTATTACATTTTTGGGGAGGACAGAATACAGTCAAATATGGCAAAACAAAGCTGTCAGTCAAAACCAAGGATAGACATAGCACAGAACATGTGTTACTTTTATAATCTTGAAACAAAGAAAGAAAGAAAGAAGAAAAAGAAAGAAAGAAAAGGAAACAGATGCCTATACTTTCCTCACACTGAGTATTATGTACAAGTGGCCTTCGGTTCCCACTTGCTGCCAAATGTCCTGTCCTCAGTGGTCCTTGCTTGTCAGTAGAAGGCAAAATCCCCTGTGGGTCTGCAGACTCAGGGGAGGAGAGGATGGAGCTGAGGTGAAGGCGAAGAGGCCAGTAAGACAGGGATCTCTTCGGCCAAGTCCAGAATAAAACTGCAGCTTCCGCTCAGTCCCTGAAACAGCAGGGCTGAAGGCAGCAGATGCCCCTGGGCGTCCTTCCTCCCAGGTCAACCCTGACATCAGAGCACTCTCCTTCACTCATTTCTCACTTCCTCAGCCTCAGGGGAACGAGTACTTACCAAATGACTTCTATATTCTAGGTGCTCAGTTTATATAGAGAAACAGTCCCCATTCTTGCCTTTGGAAAAAAAAATTTAATAACCTAATTAGCACTAATTCTAATAAATGGACGTCTTTCTTCCCATGAACCCTATTATCCCCTCAGGTTTGGAGAAGCAGGGAAGTCCAGGACCCCTTGCTCCCAATCTGCATCAAGCATCCCTGGAGCAAAGATCAGAGGAGGAGGGGAAGGCAGACTCCTGCCTCCCCAGTGCTGGACCAGATGGGCACACAAAGGCACTGCAAGCATCAGCAGAGCACAAATGGGGGAGGCAGGGTAGAGCAAGGCAGATGGTCAAATGGCAAAGAGTCAGCAACCGTGGGAGTTGGGAAGGGCAGACAGGAAAAGAGACCCCGGGCACC